GTTGTTGTTGTTTTCAATTAACTGTGCATCTAGCTAAATGGCAAGTAAATTAATGTTTATAGTGCATAAATATATATTTATGTGTGCGTGTGTGTGTGTGTGGCAATTGCATCGACTTTAAAGCAAGAAGCATTCGACGCATCGACCATGTCGATGATGCAACCTGATCAACATTCAACGCACACACACACACACATATATATACACAGACAGAACAATTTAATGATAGAAATTTGTGTGAATCCATTGTTTCGTCCGTCTGTCTGTCTGTCTCCGGCTTTTGTTCCATTTGATAATTTTCACGTTATGAATCCGGATTTTTGTTTGTAGATCGCAAAGCTCATTTCTCAACTTCCTGCTCAATCGACATCAAATTTAGCTAAAACTGTGAGAAAGTCGTTTTACCTATGTAAATTTCAATTTCTGCTTTTCGGGGTCGTATATTAACCTTAATTGTTATTCAAACTGATCTCAATATGTATAGAAACTGTGTGTGCTCTGATTTCTACTTTTTAAATGCGATTTTTTTAGCCAAAGATCAGTTAGATATCTCTTGAGACATTCTCAAGTGTTCTATATTTATTGCCAATAAAGAGATCGTGATTTGCTCTGCTAACAATTTCAGATCTTTAAACGATCTATGTGATCTTAGCTGTTGACCTTTTCTTAAATATTTTCAAGATCTTCAAAGATCTAGTTCATTAAAAGTGAGAATCATGAAAGTGTCCTTTTATCCTTCAGCTTAACGTAGAGAGTAAGTCTTCAATTGATCATGATCTGTCAAAGTTATATTTATATGATCTTAACTGTAATTAGATATATTGCTTTCGAATTTATAGATTCTTTTATTTAAAGATCTTTAATAGGAGATCGTCTTCTTGTTTATAGATCTTGTTCATATGTGAAGAAAGGATGTTTAACTGATTTGGATCTGTCAAAGTTCAATATATGATCTTACTTATCGATCATAAGAAATTTTCTTTCTCATTTTAATACAAAAACTTCAATTTAACTGATATGCATACTGATATCTATTCACTTGTATTTCTATTTTCATCTAATGTTGCTCTGTTTGGTAAATGATCTTCATTTAGCTTTCAGCTGATATCTTGCCATATCTATTAATATGTAAACTGATCCGCTGGTATCATCAATTGATTTTCACTTGTTCGCCTGATTTAAATCTCTATAAACATGATCATCACATGAGTTTATAAATGCTGTCAAACTCGTTTTGACACGAACATGATCAATAGCTCACTTAAGTGTGCATTTCATTTGACAATCTGCTTTGGAGCATATCATATAATTCCGATTCATCCTTTTGTTCGCGATGTCTATCTAATTTTGGGCGGAATCTATTTATTGTTCGTTTTTATTGCATTGATTAATATTTGGTTTTATTTGGCTCTCTTTTTGATCTTCATCGAATACCAACATTAATTGGTAGCTTAAGTATTTCTTATCTTAGCTGATCTTTTCATGATATAATATAAATTGTTTTTAAATTTGATTCATTTGTTATTCAATTGATTTTATTGTGATATTCATTTAGTGAATTTTCATAAAGATACCAAAATGATCTCATATATGTTAAATCAGAATGAAAATGAATGTTAATTTTTATATAATCCTTATTTCGTTTTCAATGAATATTCATTTCAATTAATATTCACTTTTTCATTTTTTCATTCGATGAAGACATCTGGTCCTCATCTGTTTTCATCCGATCTTTATCTGATCCTCAAGTAACCCATATCTGATCGCCAACTGATCTTCATCTTCTCTTCACTCGATCTTCATCTGATCTTTACCCGATCTTCACTGGATCTTCTTCTTGCCTTCATCTGACCTTTATCTGATCTTTACTCGATCTCCATCTTGCCTTCATCTGATCTTTATCTGATCTTCATTTGATCTTTACTTGAACTTCACTCGGTCTTCATATTGTCTTCATCAGATCTTGATCTGACCTTCATCTCTTGATCTTCATCTCATCTACATTTGATCTTGACTTCATCTTCAGCTGGTCTCTTGATCTTTATCCTATCCTTATTTAATCTTCATCTGACCTTCACCCGATCATTCTTCAGCTCTTCACTTGATCTTTGACTCATTTTCAATTGATCTTCCTGAGATCTTTACTTGATCCCTCGATGTTTATCTGATTTTCATCTGGCCTTCAACTGATCTTCATTTGATCCTAACTCGATCTTCATCTGATCTTCACCCGATCTCATTAGATCTCTACCGAAACTTTACCTGAGCTAGAGATCCTCAATTGATATGTAATTGATTCAGCCAGAATTTCTAATAATGCTTGCTTCGATTTCTTGCAGGCCTACGTGAAGGCCGTTCGTGACGGTGTCGAGGATCTAGAGGCGGTGCTCTGCTCGCCAGAGAGTCAGAAGCAGCTGGTGGCGCTCGGGCCGCAGCTGGTGGCGAATACGAGCCGATCGCGCAAGACCATCGATTCGGAGGACACGCAGAAGCGTTGCCTGGCCCAGGAGGACGGCACACTGGTGACCGAAAGTAAGCGCACCACCCAGCACGAGCTAATACTCGACGGCGACGAGGAACCCGATCAGCTAACGGGCCAGCTGCTGGGCAATGAGCAGCTGACCACGACGGCGGCGAATCAGCGATTCTTCAAGCAGCGGGACGAACAGCATGTGGATCTGATAGCCGACGGCAAACTGGTGGCCACCGAGATGCGCTACGCGGCGGAGACAACGCAAATGGAAAAGGATGGCTCGCTGGAGCGGCCGGGCGACTGGGACAGCCTCTCGGATCGCATGCGCAAGCTGCGCCGCACACAGCAGCAGCAGCAGCAGAAAGGTGAGTGCCAGCCAGCCCAGATACCCTGTGAACAGAACCAAACTCTCTCTCTCTCTCTCTCTCTCTCTCTCTTTCTCTCGCTTTCTTGCAGAGGTCGCCCTGCTCGCAGATCGCAAAGATGCGCTGACCAAGCGACCCCTCGACTTCGATCGCGAGGAGGAGACGCGCAAGGGCGAGACCATGAAATGGCTCGAGTCACACTTTGGCAGCGAGTCGACGGCCTCGAATGACTCACGCGACGACGAGGCCAACGAGCTGGATGTGGAGCCCACCAAGAAGAGTTACTTCAACGTGACCATCAAATCGCAGAGCCAGCAGCCAACAGCAGCAGGAGGAGCAGCAGCAGCAGCAGCAGTTGCCGTTAGCAGCAATCAAACGCTGCCGCGAACTGTAGACAGAGACAGAGACAGAGAAAGGGAAAGGGAAAGGGAGCGTGAGCGCGAAAGAGAGCGCGAACGGGAGCGAGAGCGAGAGCGCGATCGCAGCACACTGGAGCGCAAGTATGTGAAGGACGCTGGACGTGGTAAATACTATCAGGGCATCTCGAACTGGTCGGAGCGGAAGGAGGCGCCCACGCTGAATCACTTCTCGACGCAGGCCTTTCGCGAGGATCTGCAGGAGACGATACGCCGCAAGCAGCTGCAGGTGGCGCCCGACGTGCTGCCTCCGGGCAGCGATAGCTACGTGAGCCGCGAGGACATCTTGCAGCAGAAGCGCCAGAGTTTGTCCTCGCAGTTTCTGGCCAGATCGGCGCGCGGATCGCGGGATGCGCTCGACGATCTGGATGCCATACCCGGACCGGGACCCATGCGCCCTGCAGCGCCACCAGTTGCTGTGGGCGTGGGCGTGGGCATGGGCGTGTCACCGGGCATTGGCGTTGTGCGCAACGAGGAGCCCACGCTGAAGCGGCCAGCGTATGGGCAACTGCATGGCCATGGGCGCAGCAGCAGCAATCCGGTTAGTCAGCTGCCAGTGAATGGGCGTGGCAAGGGCGGCAGCACCCAGCTGGAGTTTGCCATGAGCAGCAGCAGCAGCAATCTGGGGCGGCCCACAGTGCCGCAGCGACGACGTGCCATCGAGAAGAAGATCGTGGAGCATGGCCATGCTGCCAGCAGCATCAACAGCATCAGCATCAGCAACAGCATCAACAGCAACAGCAACATCAGCAACAGCAACAGAAGCCAGAACAACAACAACAACAACAACAACCACAAGCTGCTCTCAGCGAATGCCCAAACGCAGTTGGAGCCGCCGCCCGACTACTCGCCGCCGCCGCGCAGTCGCAGCCGCAGTCGCAGCTCGTCGCCCCAGGTGGACTACATGATCGGCCGGCCCAGGCAGATGGCAGCCAGTGTGCCAATGGAGCCGCCGGTCTCCAGCACAATGACGCTGAACCGCAAGCAGCAGCAGCGCACACGCTTTGCGCCCAGCTCCTCCAGCTATCCGACGGGCATCAATGGCCACAGCTCCGTGTCCACCTCAAATCTGTCCAGCGCCGGCGGTGGCACCAGCAAGCCCAGCAAGATGGGCCAGGTCATTGGGAACTCGCTGCGCAAGCTGGTCAGCAAGATTCGTTCGGCGAGCGCGGAGCGCAAGTTTCGCATGAAGAGCGCCGCGAGCAAATCGCGCGAGCAGTCACCGAATCCCAATCAGGCGGCCGCCCAGCAGCTGACCACGTACCAGCAGTACAATGTGATTGACGGGCATATTGGCGGCAACAACAGCAACAGCAACAACAACATCAACAACAGCAACGGCAACGGCAACGGTAACCACAATGGGCAGCTGCGGCACAGCAGCAACGAGTCGGAGAGTTCGCTGCGCCAGGCAGCGAGCTTCAAGCGTGCCGAGTCCGCCGAGACGCAGTCGGTGAGTCCGCGCCAGCGCTACTATCTGGGCGAGGATCCCTATTCGAGCACGCTCTACGGCAAGGAGAACATCTACGAGCGGCATGCGCACGGACGTGCCGCCGCACGGCAACCCAGGTATCCGGAGGACGACTACTATGACAGCCGAGCAGGAGCAGGAGCAGCAGGAGCAGGAGGCGCAGGCGCAGCAACAACAACCACAACGCTGGGTCGCTACCAGAAGCATGGACAGCGCTTCAGTGGCTCCACGCCCAATCTGCTGCAAATGCAGCCCGACTTTAGGAACGCCCAGACGCTGCCGCGCAAGCTGCACGAGCCGGTCAACGCATATCGGCCACAGCCGCGCTACAATCAGACGCTGGAGAAGAAGCCGCAGTACATGACGACAGCAGCGGCAGCAGCAGCAACTCCGCAGCAGCAGCAGCAGCAGCAGCAATTGGCGCCGCGTCAGCTTGGCCCCGCCTTGGAGCAGGGGCCCGCGAAGCCGGCGCGCACCTATGCCAAGGTGTTGAATCGCAGCAAGAGCTTCAATGTGCACGGCATGAATGGCAGCAATGATCCTAGTCCCATTTACATTGAGAAGTTGACACGCAACAACTACTACAACAACAACAACAACAACAACAGCAGCAACGGCAACGGCAACAACAACAGCAAACAGGAGTCGCAACTGCAGGCCTACAAATCGAATCCGCATCTCTACCAGGCCAAGGACAATTCACTGAAGAGCGGCCTGAAGAGTCCATCGATTGTGAATCTAATAAGTCGCAGCCAAAAGGATCTGACCAAGATCGCGACCAGCAACGAGGACGATCTCTATGCCATCGAGGACAACAACAACAAGAAGCAGCTCTATCTGCGCAATCTGCACCAGCAGGCGCCCGATCTGTACCGCGTGCTGCACGGCGACGAGGCCGACTATGCCGCAACGCGCCACAAATATCCTTTGCAGCCGAAGTACTCCCTCGACTCCCGCTCGCCGCCCACCGTCGAGCTGAACAAGGACACGGCGAGCATTGTGCGACGCAGCAGCGATGAGCACAAGCGGCAGCTCTATGCCGACGAGCAGCAGCAGCAGCAGCAGCAGCACACGCACACACATGCACATGCACACACACACGTACACGCACACCCACATCATATGCATGCGGCTCAGCAGCAGCTGCGTCGCGGCTCTGGCGCCACCATCATTGAGCTGCGCCAGCGCAAGTGAACACTATATGTCTATCTCTGTCTTTCACTTACTTTTCCTCTCTCGCTCTCTCTCTCTCTCTCTCGCTCTCTTTCACTCCCCCTTCCCCCCCCCCCTCTCACTCTCCTCTGGCTTTTAGTTTCATTTGACTAGCGGCAAATAAATATAAAAGGCCCACACAAAAATAGCTTTTTTTCAGCTAAATTTGTCTTCTTCTTTTTCATTTTTTTTTCACTTTATTTTTGCTGCTATACATTTTTATATACAAACATTTTTCTATATATACATATATCTTCCATATATTATATACAAATT